TTTGTAGTTGACAAGTGTTTTTCTTTCTACGTCTGACGTCACCAATAATGGGTACTAAGACGTTGAGTATGTCTCTTGTTTAACGATTTTACTTACACGTTCGGAGTCACCAATTATGGCGCTAGTGATCCGTTTGATATTTATTAATTATATTTTAGAAGTGTAATCGCAATTACTTGATGTAGACTCGAGAATGAGTGTTTATTGATATCTCAATTAATAAAGGAACTGATATTACATAAAATCTCATATCAATTTTGATCCCGACAAAATGCTCGATGAAAAACGCGATACATAATTTTAGATCGTTTCCAAAAAGCGAGAGATATTTTTTCCGAATCGTATTAAAACAATCCGCTCGCTATGGCTTGCTTGATATGATATTCGATTTACGTCAATCAACTGACATGTGTTATGTGGGCGTGTTGATTGGTGTACGTGCGTACTTGGATCGGTCTCATGAACATCTTGGGCATTTGTCGCATGCGCACTAAATAGTTAATCAGTTAATAGTTAACAGTAAATTGTTGAATAGTAACGTAGTAATATAGTGTATAATGAATAATTAATATTAAATAGTGAATAGTTAATAGTTCAATAGTTATAGGTAAATAGTTAATAGTTTAAGTAAATAGTTAAATAGTTAATGGTGAATAGTCAATAGTAAATAGTTAATAGTTAATAGTGATTAGTGATAACTAAATAGTTTAACAGATAATAGTTAAATAGATGAATAGTAAATAGTGAATAGTTAATAGTAAATAGTGATTAGTGATAACTGAATAGTTAAATAGTGAATAGTTAATAGTAAATAGTGAATAGTGATTACTGAATAGTTAAATAGTGAATGGTTAATAGTAAATAGTGAATTAAAAATAGTTGAATTGTGGATAGTTAAATGGTGAATAGTGAATAGTTAATAGTTAATAGTTAATAGCGAAATAGTTGAATAGTAAAATAGTGAATAGTGATAACTGAATAGTTAATAGTAAATAGTGAATAGTGATAACTGAATAGTTAATAGTTAATAGTGAATAGTTAATAGTTAATAGTAAATAGTAAATAGTAAATAGTGATAACTAAATAATTAATAGTAAATAGTGAATAGATAATAGCAAATAGTGAATAGTTATGAGTAAATAGTGAATTAAGAATAGTTATTAGTTATTAATTAAAAAGTCAATAGTTTATAGTTAATAGTTATTAGATAAATTGTTAAATGATAAATAGTTAATAGTTAATAGAGAATAATAAATAATGGATATTAATATGCATATGACTAAAATAAATAATATAAATATAAATATAAATATAAATATAAATATAAATATAAATATAAATATAAATATAAATATAAATATAAATATAAATATAAATATAAATATAAATATAAATATAAATATAAATATAAATATAAATATAAATATAAATATAAATATAAATATAAATATAAATATAAAATACAAATTTGAATATAAATATAGATATAGATAAAAATATAGATATAAATATAAATATAAATATATGAATTAGTATTTCACCCGCACATGCGCGAGTTGAACTCACATTCGCCAAATGAGCCGGTAAATTAGCCGAAATATTCACATTTGCCATAACATATATATATATATATATATATATATATATATATATATATATATGTATGTATATTAAAATATAGAGTACTTTATATACTATATATTATATAGTATATGGGTCATTCTTTTACAAACCGTACACCAACCAAACCTTGACATTTTAGTATTGGCTGATTTTTTTTGTAGATATTATAGACAAAATCATTTGACACGTATTTCAGGATTTTGCCGGCAAAAAAAATTTTTTCGTTGGTATTTACGATTGAAATATTGCCGATTTTCTCAATTTTTATGAACTTCTTCTGCATAAACTCAACTTTGAAGTACATAATTTAAAAAAAATAATGATTTTGGAATTATTTTAACAATAATAACAATTGATTGTTTACATTGGTTTTACATACGGGCGCCCCAACTTAAATCGATTTCGTAAAAATTCATATTGTTTCTTGTTTTATCTACTACAAAATTGTTTTTACAATTCGATGGGAAGGCTGTAACATCGAAAGATATTAAATGTTTTCGAGCGCAAGTCGGGCAACGCGCAATGCGCATCGTGTTAGAACACGCGCCGCGCGTCCGTTTGAAAGACGCACCGCACGACCGGCCGCTTGTTGCATGTTGTATAAATCATTGTCATTCAGTAGCATAAGTTTCTCGTTTATTCACTCAGATATTTTTCAAAATGCCAAAAATTAATAAAACATCAATCGGCGACAGAATAAGAAGTGATCGATGTTTCAATCCATTCGGTTCGTGTCGTCATCGAAAAATTAAAAGGTCTTCGTACAGTTTTAGACAAACATTTTGTGGTTCTCAACTTGCCGGTTACAAACGAGTCACTTCAACAAAAAATCTGTGATAGTTGTCGCCAGAAATGTGTTAAATTGTACAAGGACGGCCAAAAAAAGGTAAATATTAATGCTTTTGTTATCGTTTAGCTAATTTGGTAATTACATACAAATAGTAAAGTTAAACGTCACATAAAATAAATTATGTTTTAGAATGAAGAAAACAATTCTTTTGAGTCTGATGGTTTGTTGCAAACTGATGACAATGACAAAGAACTTTTTTCTGCAAATTCCGATGTACCATTTAAAGATGATTCAGTGGTACCTGTAGTTATCGATTTACTGAACCAGTGTTTAAACCTTCTAGGAGTTTCTCCTATTAAAAAGAAAAGAAAAATCCCAACGGCGTTATTCAAACGATAAAATGATTAATGTATCAGAAGTACTGGCAAACAAAGTTTTTCATCATCCTGTAACTACACAAGATGATCGTAATGTTGAAGAAAATGATGAAAAATATTTGCTAAACGTTTTAAAAGAAGAATTTAACAGAACTACGGATCGTTCGAAAAAAATGAAAATGTTGACTCCTCTCAAGGATTGGTCTTATCGAAAAATTCAACATTATTTTCCGCTAGTCACTAATCACATGATTAAAACGGCAAAAAAATGGCTGTTGAAAAAGGTATTTTGTCCGATACAACCCCAAAGTTCCATCCGTTTTTAGACAAAGAGATAGTTGACATTGTAACTAATTTTTATGAATTAGATGAGAATAGTCGTGTAATGCCGGGGAAGAAGGATTTCGTTTCTGTTAAAATTGATGGTAAACGAGTTCAGATGCAGAAAAGATTACTGTTAATAAATTTGAAGGAATTGTTTCAATTGTTTAAATATATCTAGTATATAGTATTGTGCAATTGTTTAAATATATCTAGTATATGTTTAATATATCCAGGAAATAAATGCAGCTTTCTGAAATTTGCGTCTTTACGACCTAAACATTGCGTTCTGGCGGGTACTAGTGGCACCCATTCAGTGTGTGTATGTACCATTCACGAAAATGCTAAATTGATGATTGAAGGATCTGACTTAAAAAATCTTACTGCCTACACTAATGATCCAGTGAAATCTTAAAAAATATGATTTGTGTAGAACCCACGAATAATTGTTATTTTGGAAAGTGCTCCCAGTGTCCTGGTCTAGAAAATTTGATCACAAATTTAGAAAATATTTTTGAAGAAAGTTATATTGACGAAATTAAATACAGAGAGTGGGCTAATGTTGATAGAACTATGTTGCAATTAATGATATCCCCAGTAGACGAATATATACAAAAATTGCAGGCCACTTTGGAAAAATTATTATTACATTCGTTTCTTGTAAAAAGACAAAATGAATTTATGACAAAATAGGAAGAACTATCACAGAATGAATGCATCGTAGTGCGTGATTTTTCAGAAAATTATTTATTCGTTATCCAAGATGCTGCTCAAGGATTTCATTGGAATAATAATCAGGGTACTGTGCATCCATTTGCAATTTATTACAAAGATAGTGACGATAACGTTTGTGTTAAAAGTTTAGTAATTATTTCAGAATGTCTGCAGTGGTCTGTAACGATACTGTAGCGGTTTATGAATTTCAAAAACATTTAGTGGAGTTCATTGGTAAAGAATTGAAGCAAATTACAAAAATCATATACTTTTCTGATGGGTCGGGTGCGCAGTATAAAAATAAAAAGAATTTTGTAAATCTTACTTACCACCAAAAAGAATTTGGTCTGGTTGCAGAGTGGCACTTTTTCCCAACGTCACACGGTAAGGGCGCTTGCGATGGATTGGGTGGTACTTTGAAAAGGCTAGCTGCCAGAGCTAGGTTTCAAAGAACATCAAATCCAATCCAAACGCCAAAACAATTATTTGAATGGGCAAATGAGTCTCCTTGCAACATTTCTTCGAAATATGTTACCAATGAAGAATATATTGTTGCCGATAAAAAATTGAAGACAAGATTTAAAAATGCAGTCACAGTGAAAGGTACATTGAAATATCATTGTATTATACCTGTTAAAAAAATAAAGTGCGGGCCAAAAACTTTTCTTCGCAAAAAGAAAGCGATTCAACTGTTTTTCAACTGGTCAAAGTTGTGTCTTGAAATGTATATTGTGTAGTACATCGACAGAAGCTATGTTATATAAACTTAATTATAATGCAATAAATGAATTATTTTTCAATCGAATTCTCTTGTATTTATTTTTTAACGAAATCAAACCTACCCAAGACAATTATTTAAACTTTTGTTCATATTCCAACGAATAATAAGTTTCAATTTATCAGTTTCAAAAATATGAGCATTTTGTATAAATTTTGCTACTACATATTTTAGATAATATATTCATTTTTTCTCAGTTAGAATAGATATTATATCTATAAAAAAATCAGCCAATTCTAAAATGTCACATTTTTTTACAAAAATCCATACGATTTGTAAAAGAATGACCCATATTTAAGGAAAACACTTCACGGTTGTATTTAGTATCTTCAGTTAGTCATGAAGGGCACTATACCCGAAATATAATAAACAAAAGTTATTAAAAAAATTTTTTTAGTATGTCACGCGGAGGTCAATGCAATAATGAATAAAAATTCTGCTGATGTTAGAAACTGCATTATTTATGTTGGACTTTTTCCATGTAATGAATGTGCTAAAATTATTATTCAATCTGGAATTAAAGAAGTAATATTTATGTCTGATAAACATGGTCACAAGTTGCATACGATTGCATCGAAGCGTATGTTGCAAGCAGCTGGCGTAAAATATAGGTATACATAGATATATTACTATTTTATTGTTCAAATTAAATTTTAAATGGTAAATTTAATTTAGAACAAACGCTCATTAAGCTTTTGCTATTTTAAATTTATAGGCAATATATTCCGAAGAATCAACAAATTGTAATAGACTTCTGTGAGATTGACTGGAATGCTATGATACAGTATCCCACAACGCCCATGAAAATAGCTTCAGATTGTTTGTCAAAATAATGACTAATAAATTATCATATGAAAAAATCTGAATTTTTCTGCAATATTTATATGTATATGCATTCCTATATGTGGTGATCAAGTAAGCGTAAGCAGTCGTACCATTTACACCAAATGAAGAGCTCCAGAAAATGCACAAACGCCAATTATACAACTCTCTCACACTCAGTCCCCACATCAATTAAATACAATGGGATTCCGATCGGTTTGACGTCAATAATAATTAACATAGTATTAATATTAATATTCGTTTTAATAATAAATAATTAATAAAACAAAAAAATAGAAGAGGACATAATGCCTCAATTTGAAATCATGTTGACTCAACGGCGACATAGTCATATACACTAGTCAAGGCTATGCATAACGTGCAACAGAGTGAGTGAATGCGGGGCTTGAGAAACAAAAGAGAAATTGACTGGGTTATATGGCTCTGTATCGCATACATAGATATATTACTATTTTATTGTTCAAATTAAATTTTAAATGGTAAATTGAATTTAGAACAAACGCTTATTAAGCTTATGCTATTACAAATTTATAGGCAATATATTCCGAAGAATCAACAAAACGTTGAGTCAACATGATTTCAAATTGTCGCAATATGTTCTCTTTTATTTTTTTCTTTTTATTAATTATTTATTAGTTATGTTGTTCCTGTACACAATTTTAGTGTTTATGATTTTCTCCTTTTTGTATTTAAGGGGTTACATACACCACTGTTGCAGCCAAAAAAGAACTATATTTTTGCCATTTGTTTTCGAGCGGAAGGAAAAGTAATAATATCATGATATGAAATATAATTATTTTTTGTACTTTAAAGTAACAAAATAAAATATAATACTTTAAAGTAACAAAATAAAATATAATTGTAAAAAAATTAAAAACATCGGTACCACAGCACGCAAAATAACTACAACAATTTTAATTTTTTTTATTCGAATTTTCTACAGTATATTTAAAATAACATTTTGAAGTGCCCATCATAGCGGATTTCAAAAATATCGATTTTTGTATGTTAATGAACACGTTATTCAAAATCGTTGAATTTCAACGAAAAAACGGATACTGTGACCTCACGATGTTTGGTCGGTGAAAATATAATTAAAACAAAAGCTGTAAGGAAACTGTTTTTTATATTTATTAATTACAGGGTTCAAGAATAGGTTAGATACAAAATATTCGCAACACTAATATATATGCTTCGGCCTCTAGTAGTAGCGGTAATTTCTGAATCTCGTCGAACACCGTCGAACTGTTGTGCGTGAATTGCGTCGAACAGTTTAAATAGTCTCCTGGCTTGTTATGCGTTGAGCGCGTCAACCGTTGTAGATCTTCTGAAACTGTTGTGCGAGAGTCGCGTCGAACAGTTTTAATCTTCTTGGGACTGTTGTGCGTGAATCGCGTCGAACAGTGTAAAACGCCTGGAACTGTTGTGCGTGAATCGCGTCGAACATTTAATGGTACTTGAGGCTTTTAAGTCAGCTTTCAATTACAACGCTTTTTGCTTTTGCAGGCCAATTTATACTAAGGGTCGCTTTTGCAAAATTCTTATGGGGGTGTAAGCGAGCCAATCCTGTGTCTGAAAGTTGGTGTGTCCTTCTTGCACCGTAGTGCCGTCTTGTTCTAGCTTCATCCCTCTCCTCCAAGGTGGTAATCGTTCTATCTCGCTCACTCCTACGGCACTATATCTTGAGTCATAGATGAAAGAAGAGTATATAGATCGCTCTCTCGGGCCATATTTCGTTGCCAAGAGCAAACTGTCAACTTAACGGGGTTAGTTCGAGCTGCTCTCCCTTGGTGCGCACGCGTCGACCGTAGAACGGGTGTGTACAAAAAATACTATAGAAATGCACCAATATAGTAGACCGTTTGAATTCAAAATTCAAAATTAAAAAAAGAAATTAAATTTTAAAAAGCATTTATTTTTAACAATAATATTTTACATTATATGAACACTACATAGTAACTAGTTCTCTTTATAAACAATGCACAGATAGCATAAAAATGTGCATAAATGTTTGTATATATAGATATATATATATATATATATATATATATATATATATATATATTATAATAACATCATATATGATTACAAAAGATGGTAGTAAGCTACACAATAATATACAGTAATTTCCAAACTGATGATTACAAAAGGTGGTAGTAAGCTTCGTAAGCAATGTACGAATGCCATAGAAATGTACATAAATGTACACGCTATCCATCATGTATACATATATTTTATTATATAATATATATATATATATATATATATATATATATATATATAATAACATCATATATGAATACAAAAGATGGTAGTAAGCTACACAATAATATACAGTAATTTTCAAACTGATGATTACAAAAGGTGGTAGTAAGCTTCGTAAACAATGTACGAATGCCATAGAAATGTACATAAATGTACACGCTATCTATATATATATATATATATATATATATATATATATATATATATATATATAATATCATATATGATTACAAAAGATGGTAGTAAGCTACACAATAATATACAGTAATTTCCAAACTGATGATTACAAAAGGTGGTAGTAAGCTTCGTAAACAATGTACGAATGCCATAGAAATGTACATAAATGTACACGCTATCCATCATGTATACATATATTTTATATATAAATATAAATATATATATATATATATATATATATATATATATATAATAACATCATATATGAATACAAAAGATGGTAGTAAGCTACACAATAATATACAGTAATTTCCAAACTGATGATTACAAAAGGTGGTAGTAAGCCTAGTAAACTATGTACGAATGCCATAGAAATGTACATAAACGTACACGCTATCTATCATGTATATAAGTACACACGGTCGTTTAATGCCTTGTGTTAAGTACGTAATTACTTATCCAAAAATAGCCCATTTGGGGCACTGCATAATGAAATGGTAATGGACGATATCACACACCATTCTTCCCTGATTTGAGATTGAGTTTAACTCAGCTCACACAACTGCCCTAGCAGTTCATGCCAAAAAACTGTCTAAATTATATATATAATTTTCTAGATTTCTAGAAAATATAAATATAATTTAGACATTATCTATACCATATAATAAAAGCATTGAGAATAGATCCAAATAATAAAAAACGAACAAGAGATAGAAGTTACTAGATCTCTCTTCATGCGCTCAAAAGTTAACTTAAAATCCGAGCAACAACAATTCAACAAGGTCATAAATTTATATTGCAATCAAAAAAGAGGAACATATTCAAAAATAAGGAATAAAATTTATGCCTAAGATATTCTTGTAAATTAACTCTGTTTATATTTATCTTGGTGCTCAATCAAATAATGATTAAGTTACATTAAATCTATGTATAGTCTCTATCTGAAAACCTTTTCTGCACATTGTGTTAATCTGCTTTAAAATGTTGAACGAACTATCATTATCATCATTATCACAAAGAAAAAAATCATTATGTTCTCATAACAGTAACTGACAAAAGTTCAAGAAAGTTATATGCAAACACATTTGCCAATTTAATTAAAGGATAAAACCAAAATTACTTGCATCTGAAAAGCATATCAACAGCTTACTAAAATGAATTACTATATGGGGATGTCATTTGAAAACTAGTTTGCTGTTATCCAGTAAATTATTGTGCAATTCATGATCTATATACTTCTCGACATCTGTTAAACGTATTATCACCAATAATAAACAGAAATAAACTGTATAGCAAAATATACTCCATGAAGTAGCAACTTATTTACAACTTCCACAATTGCTAAAACATTTAACAACCTCATTATGTATTACTATAAATTTATAAATAAAACCACATTCATGAAACAATCACAAAAAATATGAGTTATATATCTTGTTCATTAGAATTAATATATCTTCCCGTGAGACATCGATTAACACTGTTGCACCAATTTTTAATAAAAAATATGACAAGAGATTTGGAAAAAATGGCTTTCAAATTATGCTTTGTGCAACTGAAACTAAATTCATGAAGAACATACTTTTCAAGTGTTTCTAATAGTTTTAGTTTAATATTGTCTGCAGTGCATAGTGTCTGTATGAAATGATCCAATATTTGACAACATTTTTGAAATAAATCAAAAAATGTTGTCCCTGGAACCTTCAGAGAATTTCCTGTGTAATCTTTATATTCAATCCAAGATGCTTCATCTTTGCCAATTGGATCTTCCAATAGCTCAATTGCACAAGTGTGGCAATCCTGGACACTGTTTATCAGTTTCTTAATACAGTACCCTGAAACATATGCGTTTTCAGAAGAAGGCGAATGACGAGATGATAAATTATTTATAATCAGTGTCCTAAAAGAGGATATAAAAGAATAAGAATTTGGATTCTTATTACATCCACCTTGCCTTCTTATGCTGCCAAAAAAGTTTTCTAACGGATTCTGTTTGAAATTTCGCGTACACAAAAAATTAAAGCCATTAATTAACCGAATTTTTCCCCATATATGTTCCAAGCCATCTATGGTTCTAATCCAATTCTTAATGGTAGGAGTTTTCATTATGGTTCTAACTGAATCTTTAGTTATAATAAAGTACATTGAATCTAACACTTGCCTTGCAATTTTCCAGAATTTAATATGTACAGAATTATCGTTAATGGCACAACGAAATATATTGCCATTTGTTGGAAATTGAGATAAACCATTAACACTATCAAAAAGGTAATTCATGAACTCCAAAAATTTCCCTGTACCTACCGAAGTAGCACTCACATTGGCTTCGTGAGCATGTACAATGAAATATTGAAGTCCAAGCGCTACCCGTTTAGAAAATACTTGTGCTGCAAGGCTAACCTTCATTTTTTTCATTTTTGTTTCATCAAGGTGGTGTTCCGTTAAAGTAGTGCGTTGGCGAAACATGCCCAAATTGCTATCAAAGTCATAATAATCTCGGATATCCTTCCAACATGTTTTGTATGCATCTCCTTTTTGATCCATAAATCTAACATTATACCTAATAAAGTTATTTCTCATGCATTTTAGCAAATGTGGAGGATCATACAAAGGAACTATTTCATGGCCATCTATTTCAAATATAAGTCTATTCCATTCAAGATTTCGTGTTTTATACAGTTCCTCAGTATCTCTAAGAAGCATATTTATAGCAGCAAACTGATCACAAACTGTT